TGAGACCCCTCTCTTATCCAACCCCACCTGCCTGCCAGGGGATCCATCTGTTCCCTTGTGAAATACTAATATATATATACTGGTCTCTACTCCTGATTCCTGACACAGAGCTCCTAAAACCCTTGTAGATAATGGTGCTAGGAAAATCTTTTGTTCTAATACTTAGTCTTTGACCCTGGTTCCTGATGCAGAGCTCCTAAATCCCTTGGAATTTCCAGGAGTGTCTTTTGTTCTCATGAGGCAACTCTTGGTGGGCTCCTGGATGGTTACCAGAAAGACCAAGCCATGATTATAAGCTTGGAACTTTCAGCACCACCCTCCATTCTCTGGAGAGGGGACAGAGGCTAGAGGGACTTATTAATTGGTCATGCCTAGGTGATGAAGCCTCCATAAAAATTCCAAAAGTACAGAGTTCAGAGAGCTTCTGGGTTGGTGAAAACATCTATGTGCTGGGAGGGTGGCCCACCCCAGCTCCAAAGGGACAGAAGCGCCTGTGCTCGGGGACCCTTCCAGACTTCACCCTATGTACCTCTTTATCTGGTGTTCATTTCCAACCTTTAATATCCTTGGTAATATACCAGTAACCTAATAAGTAAACTGTTTTCCTGAATTCTATGAGCTGCTCTAGCAAAATAACTGAACAAGGAGGACACGGGAAGCTCAGTTGGTCAGAAGCACATGTGACAACCTGGACTTCTGACTGGCATCTGAAGTTGGGGGTTGGGGCAGGCTTGTGGAACTGAGCCTTTAACCTGTGGGATTGGATGCTAACTCCAGGTAGACAGTGTCAGAACTGAGTTGAATTGTAGGACACCCAACTGGTGTCCCAGAATTGCTTGATGCACGGAAAAACCTCACATCCGGCTCCAGAAGTGCTGTGAGTGTAGCAGCAGTGTGAGAGAAAAGGAAAACAGCGAGTTTTCCTAGACACCCTTCCTCTCCTAACAATGCTAACTTGCCCACCAGGACTACCAGCAGTGGGCTACCACCTCTCTCCTGAGGCCACTGCCTAACTGCCCACTCATCCCTTGTTTCTGTGTGCCCCTCTGGCCTGTCTCAATCCCAATGGTCTCTTGGGCCTAGCCTGGCTAGATCTTATCTGTCCTGATCTGGCCTTCCACCTATTCTCGACACAAAGCCAGAAAGTCAGTGCTAATGGGAACAAGGTTTCTTGTTGGGGTGATGAAAATATTCTAAAGTTGCTTTTTGTGATGGTTGCAAACTGCAAAAATTCATTAAATTGTATACTTAAAAAAAAAAAAGTAAGTCAGATCATCCTTCCTCTGCTCAAAACCCTCTAATACGGCTTTCTGGGATCTGACCTCACTTCCTCTCCCTGCCTTGCCCACCCCGTTCCACCCACTACACTGGCCTCCTTCATGTTGCTTAACAAGCTCTGGTCCCAGGGCCTCTGAACCTGCTGCCCCTCGCCCACGAGGCTCTTCTCCCAACAGCTGCGTGGCTTGTTCCTCATTCCCTTCAGATTTCTTCTCCAATGGCACCATCATAGAGGGCTTCCTTGTGACCTTAAGTAAAACAGCATTCCACTTGACACACAACACCTGCCACTTACTATCCCCCTACCCTGTCTTACACTCCCACCATCTGTTCCTTCCCATACTTAAAAAAAAAAAAAATTTATTGGAGTATAGTTGCTTCACAATGTTATGTTAGTCTTTTCCATACTTTTAAATTTTGTTTTCTCTCTCCCCTTTAGAATGAAAGTTCTTTAGTTTACTAACACACCTTTACTTGGTGCCTAGAAAACAACAGACACACAACAGACACTGAGTAAATACTTGTTGACTGAATAAGTAAATGACTGATCCAAGTGTGACCTATTCTTGATTCCAGCAACGGCACAACCAAAACATTAGTGGGTTTTAGTTTATCAGAAGATACACTTTGACGCTGAAGGTATAATGAAATTCATACCTTCAGAAAGTAAATGTTATTCCTGATACAGGAAAAAAAAAATTCTGCCTTTCATAGCACTCAGATTTGTTAAAAATGACAACAACAACAAAAGAAATCTGAACAACTTGCAATAAGGAGGGTTAGGCAGAAACCTAAATAGCTAAATTGCAAATGCAGGTTTAAAAAACAATCAATTCAAAGCTTCCTGACAGTGATAAACCACAGACTATTTCAGAGCAATGATTCTGCCATATCGAGTTGGCATAAAATGCAAGGAACCTTTTCTGTGGGGCCAAAATAGAAACAATTCCAGAATCAGGACAGTGAACGACATTCACTGTCAGCAGGCTTTGGTGCCTCCAAAGGAATTACAGTTCATGTACTTACTGTCCATTCCAGCTAAAGAAGAGATACAGCAGAGAGGTTGTGTGTTTACCCACTGTGTTTACCCATCCCATTCTGATCAGCTTGCTGCGGTCAAGGGCTTTATCTCATGCATGTTTATACCCCCAGCCCAGAGCCTGCACTTGACCAACGTATACCTGCTAAATGAATGATCCCCGGTGATCACCACCCCCAAGTTATATATTTAAAGAAGTTCCCATAAACTCAAATACATACTGCAGTTGAATATTTCAGAACAATTGCTGAAAGCAAAACAATTCACTTAGCTACAGATTCTCTACTATGACATGTTAAAACTATTGTTCCAAATCCACTTATCTCAATCTTTTCTTAGAGAAGGAAAAGGCAACTAAAAGCAAAAGATTGAACAGAATATTCAGTTTCAAAGTATCACCTCACATGATTTATTACAAAAGGATTAAGGTACCCTTACAGTGGACAGATCTGATAAACACCATCTTCACCAAATGATTAAACCTAGTGTTATCAATAAAGGTACAAACTGACACTAAATGTCTCCTGATGAGGTGCCCTGGGAAGTGGGCAACATCACCTGTGTAGGCAGCGTTTTGAACAAAAATATTTAATCTGAATCTAATCATGAAGAAAAAATGAGATAATTTAGATTATGGAACATTCTATGAAACAATTAGCCTGGACTTAAAAAAAAAATGTCTGTCTCAAGAAACTGAAACAAGGATGGAGGAACTGTTCTAGATTCAACAAGATTAAAGAGACATGACAACTTAATGCAATGTGGGACCCTTGATTAGATCCTGGAATTTTTAAAAAAACAAAGGAGGGACTTCTCTGGTGGTCCAGTGGGTAAGACTCCATGCTCTTAATGCAGAGGGCCCAGGTTTGATCCCTGGTCAGGGAACTAGATCCCACATGCATGCCGCAACTAAGAGTTTGTATGCCGCAACTAAGAAGTCCCACATACTGCAATGAAGATCTGGCGCAACCAAAATTTAAAAATAAATAAATAAATAAAGGAAAAAAGCTAAAAATGGCATTATTTGAACAACTGGGAAAATTGGGAAAATCTAAATAAGGCCAATACATTAGATAATATTCTATCAATGTTAAATTTCTTGGGTGTGATGTGTTTTTTTTGTTGTGGCAGAAAATGTCTTCATTTTAAATGATACGTGCTGAAATATTAGGCGTCAAACATCGTCACTTCTGTAACTTCCTTTCAAAAGGCTCGCAGAAAGTAAAAATGTTATGTGTATGCATATATATATTTAGAGAGGAAGCGAAAGAATCAAAATGTTAATAATGAATCTAAGTAAAGGGCATATAGATATTGGTTATACTATCATTTCAATTTTTCAGTAGGTTTGAAAATTTTCCAAATAAAGAATTGTGGGAAAAGTAAGGAAACAATGAAAACAGACCGATCCAGTTCGGTACTGCCTCCAGACTGCATGAACATTTCATTTTTTGGACAGTGTCTCCAGAATGCCATATATTTCTGTTGTCACTGTCAAATGTGATCTTAGTAACTTTTGATACCTTTTGCCAGATTATCGTTTTAGGCATGATTTCAAGCTAACATCTGCATCTGCCCCAACACGGTTATCTTATTAACTATTTCACAAACCTGTCCGGGAAAATACTAGGAAGGTAATACATATCAAGTCCCTGGTGTCTGCTGAATGGCGCCTGGCAGTCGCTGCCCAGCGAAAGAGAAATCACAGGTGCCTTGTTTACAACTGCAGTCAGTAACCCAACCCTCCTTCCTTTGCAGGTCTCAGGCCGGTTCTCTCATTGTTTACTGAGTCAAAGTATCTGCCAGCTTTGCGGGAGAGCCCAACCTCACCCTTCAATCACCCCTATCTCAGCCTTCTTGCCTTTAAAGGGCCAACACACAACCGTGCTCTCCCGTCAAAGGCTTTATTTTCGGCCTTCCCAAGTACTTTCTCCTCCTCTCAGTTTTCTGAGCACGACAGCTTTCTATCTCGATTTCTAATTTTTAAAAACTCTGCTCTCAGGCCCAGCAGAATCGCCAGTGTGGGCAAGAGTCAGACAGAAGCTGCATCAAAGACCTCGAACGCATGAGTGGGAGGCTCGGCAACAGGTCTCAGAAAATGATTCCTAGAAAGAGACGCTGGTAGAGGGGGTGGATTTGAACTTGGGCGGTAGCGATCGGCAGACCACCTCCCCGCGTAAAGGGGTTGGGCTACGCTAGAAACAAAGGGTGTGTGAGTTCTGACTGACGGCCCTCAGCCCGGCCGGGACCATGCGCTGTCCGAGCTGGGAAAGCCGAGAGGCCCGCGCGGACGAAAGGGGCTGGGCGGGATGACCGCCTCCAGTGCCCCAAACAAGGGACGGCCGCCTACAGGGCTCTGCCGAGTTCATGTCTGAACCTGGGGCGTCTGGAAACTCCTAAGAGCAAGATCAGTTCGGGCGGTGACTGAGCTCCCTTCACTGACGGGTCCCCAGCGCGGGCTCGGGGTGGCCTGGCCCGAGGGGCCGGCAAGGAAGAGACGGGGGGAGGGGTTAAGGCCCCCAGCTCTCGGCCGTAGGAGAGGGAACCTTCTTCCAAGAGGAAAACAGCCCCCAGCGGGCGGGACGGCGGGATGCCAGTCCGCTCGCTGCGGAAGGGGCGCCGCCGCGCAGCCGGGGGGCCGCGGCGTGGCACGCAGTGCGCAGGCGCGGGGCGGGGCCGGTACCTGGGAAGGAGCAGAGAGAAGTGGAGTTAGGGCACAAGGTCCCGTTGCCCACGCGCGGCACGAGCTTCAGGCTGAGGATCTGCTGCAGGAGCCCAGCCGATCCCCCGCTGTCGCCGCTCCCCTCGTGCTCCATCCCGCCGCCATTCACCGCAGAGAGGTGGGGGAGAGCGCCTGAAGTGCTGCCGTGGCTCGCTCTCACTCACGGCCCACTCTGCTCTCCGCACCTCCGTCGCCTCAGCGTCACCTTCGGCCGAAGCCCTCTTCCTCCACCCCAACGGCCCTGCCAAGTGATGGCTCCTCCCTCCAATCATAGGGCGCCTCAGATGGCAGGGGCGGGGCGAGAGTTGTTCCCGCCCCTGACGTTGCGTACGGCTTTCCGAGATCCAGCACCTATGGCCTACGCCCCCTACTGGGGAAGTCTCTCCTGCTACAGTGCGGCGCGCTCTGCTCTGCCCTCCTCTGCAGCGCCACCTATAGGAAAGTAAAGGAAATTAGGTATAGATAGGGAGGGAGAGAGAGACGGGTGGGTGAGTGGGTGGGTGGGTAGATAGGTAGACAGCGGTAGGTATGCAAGTAGACAGGTAGGTAGGTAGGTAGTAGGTAGGAAGATAAATACGTACATACATATGCATCTGGTAATGAGAATCAGATGGTTCAGCAGTCAGGTGAAAGAAGCTCGAAGACAATGCAGCAATACCTTCAATATTTGGAAGGAAATGATTTTGGGGGAAAACTTCACTTTAAATTTAAAAACATTGTATACGACATAAGGAATATGGTCAATAATATTGTAATAACTGGGGACAGATGGTTACTAGACTTACAGTGGTGATCATTTTGTAACGTAAGCAAATGTCAAATAACTATGTAGTACACCTGAAACTGACATAATATTGTAGGTCAACTATATTTCAATTAAAAAATAATTAATTAAAAAGCATCATGGGGGCTTCCCTGGTGGCGCAGTTGTTGAGAGTCCGCCTGCCGATGCAGGAGACACGGGTTCGTGCCCTGGTCCGGGAAGATCCCACATGCTGCAGAGCAACTAAGCCTGTGTGCCACAACTACTGAGCCTGCACTCTAGAGCCCGCGAGCCACAACTACTAAGCCCGCGTGTCAACTACTGAAGCCCTCACACCTATAGCCCATGCTCTGCAACAAGAGAAACCACTTTAATGAGAAGTCCATGCACCGCAGGAGTAGCCCCCGCTCGCTACAACTAGAGAAAGCCCTCCACGCAGCAACGAAGACCCAATACAGCCAAAAATAAATAAATTTATTTTTTTAAAAAAAGCATCGTGCATAAAATATGTAATATTTCCTTTTAATTCAAGAACATTAGCAACATTGTTTATTAGAGTTCCCTTTTGAAAGCCTTTGTTTGGGAAGCTTTCTAATGCCAGTTCTCTAACCCTACAACTGGGATTTTGCATCAACCAAGAAACTTTTCTAAAACAAAAATAGTAAGTATTTCAAAAAGTCATGAAATATTTAACAATGCTGTCTTTTGGTACATTTCCCAGACTAGCAGATTGTATAAGAAGTGGAAAAACCAATTATTTTAAGCTTATATAACCATCAATAATGTATCACATTAGGAAACATTATTTTTAATTTAGAATTCTATCCTCAGTCCGATTGTGAATTGAGAAATTTCTGAAAAGCCATTTAGACTTGCAGGACTCAGAGAATGTATGTTTCATGTGCCCTTTTTTAAAAAAATATATATATTTATTTATTTATTCGGTTGTGCGGAGTCTTAGTTGCAACAGGTGGGCTCCTTAGTTGCAGCTTGCTGGCTCCTTAGTTGCGGCAATGTGAACTCTTAGTTGCGGTGTGCATGTGGGATCTAGTTCTCTGACCAGGGATCAAACCCGGGCCTCCTGCATTGGGAGCGTGGAGTCTTATCCACTGCGCCACCAGGGAAGTCCCACATGTGCCCTTTCTAAGGAAGCTGAGTATGTACTCCAGTGAAATAAAAGAGTGATGACTAAGAAAGAAAAAGATGGGCAGTATAAGGAATGGTGGATTTAAACAGGAATGTTAGATTGACTTCTGTGCAAGTCTTAGCAGCCACCTAACCAGATTAGAACAGAAGAAAGAGTATCCTCAGGAAAAATAATGGAATTGATTTCAGCTATAGACAAAATCGTTAATCTCAAAATTTTAGGGACACGGTGAAGAAGGTACCTGTTTCTTCTCTCAATGGGAAAACACTGAAAAACAATACAAACTCCAGGAAAGACACAAACCTGCAAGAAAATTATGAAGCAAATATAAAGCAAACAAAAACTAGGTGTTTTTGTTTTTTAGACATCCACACCCTCCTTGTTTCACTTATAGTGAGATGCAGAACTATAAAACTTTTAGACGGCAATGTTGAATATCCTTATGTCTCATGATGGTGAAAGAGTTCTTAAACTAGATACAAAAAGCTAAGACCATAAAGGAAAGGATGGATAAATTTAATTACTTTAAATTAAGACCTTGTATTATTCAAGAGTTACCACAAAGAAAGTATAAACACAAGCCACAAACTGGAAGAAGATATTTGCAATACATATAACTGACATAGGAATAGCATTTAGCACTCCTAAAAATCAATAAGCAAATGATGAAGAGACAAAAGACCTGAAGAGGTACTTCATCAAAGAGAAATACAAATGGCCAAAAAACCCAGGAAAACATGCTTAACCTCATTAATCAGTGAAACACAAAATGAATCACAATGAGGTATCATTTGTCAACCACCCAACAGCCAAAAATTTAAAAGTCTGAGAATCCAATTGTTACTGAGGTTGCACGGCAGCTGGAACTCTGGAGGTGTAAAAAGATATAACCATCTGGAATAATGTTGAATGAAGATGTTCATGATCCGGCAATTTCACTCCCAGGTAAATATCCTATAGCATTCATACGAGGAGATACAGACAAGATTGTTCCTAGTAGCACCGTAACAGTACATAACTGAAAACAAGCCAAGTATTCATTGAGATGGATAAATAAAATTGTATTATTTTCAATAAAATACTATCCAGTAGTGGAAAGAAATGACGTAAAGCTGCAAGCAACAACATGATGAATCCCAGGAATGTAAACTTGAGGGGAAAATCTAAGTTGCAGAAAAAAGAAGCCCACACTGTGATTCAATTTAAATCCAGTTCAAAAACTTGCAAAACTAACAATATACTAATTCAGGATATTAACAAAGGCAGTAAAATGATAATGAAATATTTTGGGTACTTGTTCTATTTTTTTAATAGCTATGACATTATAAATATTATATATTATGTCACATATATAACATTATATTTATATTTATTTATTCAACTAAGGAGGGCCATAGAACAAAAGTGGCTTTGGACACCCTTCATCTCACTCCAAATAAAGGCCAAAGTCCTCACAAGGCCTGCAAGGTCGTACATAATCTGACCCCCTCTCTCCCCATCTCCTAGAATTCTTCCTTTGGCCTACCACACCAGACTCAGTCGCCCCTTGCTGTTCTTCCAATATTCCAGATATGTTCCCTCCTTAGGATTTTTGTGTTACCTATTTCTTTCTACAGTACAATTTACCCATAGTTATCCCTAAATTAACTGCTTTACCTCCTTCAAGACTTTGCTCAAATGTCACTTTCACAATGAGACCTACACTGATCACGCCATTAAAAATTGCAACTCACACCCCTGCACGCAGACATTCCTAATCCCCATGATCCTTCCCTTTAAAACTGGTTGGGGCTTTCCTGGTGGCGCAGTGGTTGAGAGTCTGCCTGCCGATGCAGGGGACACGGGTTCGTGCCCCGGTCCGGGAAGATCCCACATGCCGCGGAGCGGCTGGGCCCGTGAGCCATGGCCGCTGGGCCTGCGCGTCCAGAGCCTGTGCTCTGCAACAGGAGAGGCCACAACAGTGAGAGGCCCACGTACCCCAAAAAAAAAAAAAAAAAAAAAAGTAAAAAAGAAAACAACTGGCTGGGGCTCAATCCATAATGTGTGTTGAATGAATGAATGGAGATGTGGAGGATCTGAAGACTGGGATCAGGACAGCACCAGATTTGCATGGTCAACCAGGTTCTCCAGATTTAACCCCAAGAGAGAAAATACTCAGCTGGCTCTAAGGGCTTGCCACCCTGGGAAAATTCAAAGTCCGGGCTGTGGTGGGCTCTGTGTTCTTGGCCAACTCCTCCCATTTCAGCAGCATTCCTATACCCTCCTGAGGCTACTAAGGCTTTTGGTCTACTTTTGTTTTGTTTTTTAAAGACTTTATTTTTTAGAGAAGCTTTGGGTTTACAACAAAATTGAGAGGGAACTACAGAGATTTCTCATATACCTTCTGCACTCACACAGTTCAGTGTCCTCCATTAACATCTCCCGCCAGAATGGTACATTTGTTACCAAGGATGAACCTACAATGACACATCACAATCGGCCAAAGTCCATAGTTTACCTTAGAGTTCAGTTTTGGTGTTGCACATTCCATGGGTTTGGACAAATGTATATCCATCATTATATGTACATGTCATCCATGGCATATATCCATCATTAGAGCACCATACAGCGCATTTTCACTGCCCTAAAAATCCTCTATGCTCCATCTATTTATCCCTCCCCTCCACCCACAACCTCTGGCAACTGTTGACTTAAAAAAAATGCACAGGGCTTCCCTGGTGGCGCAGTGGTTGAGAGTCTGCCTGCCGATGCAGGGGACGCGGGTTCGTGCCCCGGTCCAGGAGGATCCCATGTGCCACGGAGCGGCTGGGCCCGTGAGCCATGGCCGCTGGGCCTGCACGTCCGGAGCCTGTGCTCCGCAACGGGAGAGGCCACAACAGTGAGAGGCCCGCGTACCTCAAAAAAAAAACTACACAATGTGAGAGCTGCAAGTTAAGTTTTATTTGGGGCAAACTGAGGACTGCAACCCAGGAGACAGCATTTCAGATAGCTCTGAGAAACTGCTCCGAGGAGGTGAGTGGAGCTAGAATACATAGGAGTTTTGCAACAAGGGGCAGGTAGTCGGGAACATCAAAAGATTACTGTTAATTGGGAAACCAGATATGTCAAGTTAAGGAATTTAGAGCTTTTCTATGTATGGGAAGATGAAAGAGCCTTGGCTCACTGAAATAATTCCTTTGATATGCACCTCAGCTATCTGGGGCCAGTATCCTGTATTTTCACATCCTGGGTTTCCTCAGGGTGCACCACGGGGAGTGGCTGCAGTCTGATGGCTGCTAAATGGCAGGTATTCTTTCCTTCCTGAGTTCCCTCAGGGCTCACCAGCTTTGTTGCAATCGCTGGTGGCTGTGACATCCTTTGTTTACTGATACGGCAGGATATATTCCATTTCTCACAACCACTAATCTTTTTACTGTCTGAATAGTTTTGCCTTTTCCAGAATGTCATATAGTTGGAATCATACTAAATGTAGCTTCTTCAGATCGGCTTCTTTCACTCAGGTTCCCTCCTGAATGTCTTTTCATGGTTTGATAGTTCATTTTACTGCTGCATAATGTTCCATCAGGTAGGTAAAAATGAAAATGATTTACCCTGGACAGATGATGGGGAGGGGGTCAATAGAAAAGGGTGACAAGGGCCTTCCTGACACCATTCCAGAGAACATGTCAGTACTCCATGTTTAGAGTAATTTGGCAATTCCATATTTAAAACATGGATGCTCTTTGATCCAGCGGTTCTACTTCTAGTACTCTTTACCACAGACACACACAAACTCAGTCACGTCCTGGGGCCTCTCCCATCCCATGAGCTTGGATTCCCAGGACTGATTCTTTTATTTTGCCAAGGAACCTTGATTCCAAAGAGACCAATCCCTCAGTCTCTCTCTGCCTCTTCATCCTATGCTCAATTAACTCCTACATATTTTTTAAAATATTTATTTATTTAGGCTGTGCAGGGTCTTAGTTGTGGCACACAGGATCTTTAATTGTGGCATGCAGACTTCTTAGTTACGGCATGCATGAGGGATCTAGTTACCCGACCAGGGATTGAACCTGGACACCCTGCATGGGAGCGTGGAGTCTTACCCACTGGACCACCAGGGAAGTCCCTATCTATTTAAACCAAACGTTTCCTTTTTGAAAATGTTTTCCTGACTCTCCATACTAAAGTAGGTCACCCTCTACCCATTCTTATTTATTCTTAGAGCACAAGCGAAACTTATGGTTGCATATTTATCTGTAGGACTATTTATTTAACATCTGCACTCCCCACAAGAGCAAGGGCTGTGACTATGTCCCCAGGGCTTAGCCCTGGACTGACTCATTGAAACACTGGACTGGCACTGCCTATCTTTGTCCTGAAACCTGATGTGGGTACACCTAGAGGCTTGCTCGGAACCTGCTGCGCCCTGTAGCTCATGCAGAGGCTTGCCCAGAGCGCCCCATATGCAGGGAGCCACATCCAAGAGCCAGTCATCGCTATCATGGAACCTTGGGAGACAGGTGAGAACAGATGAGTCACATAACAAAGGCCGTTAATTGTGTCATCGGTGACCCAAGCAGGGGCAAATGAAACTTGTGGGATGCTACTATCAGGCTGGGCTCTAAGCCCCACCCCAAATGCCTTCCTGAACCCCACTAGGGATCAGTGTCTCCCTGTTCTTAACCTCTGGCTCCATGAACCTCTTGCTCAACCTTCTTTGCCTGAACATACCACATTGCTGGAGACTTCCTAGCCGACTCCTCCACTTAACAATGCGTTCCTTCCAGGCAGGGCCAGCAGGCTGCTTTTATCCCCAGTGGCCCCACTGTCCCAGCCAACTGCCCACCACTCATCATTCAGGTCCTTGACATGTCTGCAGACAAATGCCAGGATGGTGGTGATCATTTTGTAACATATAGAAACATCAAGTAACTATGTTGTGCACCTGGAACTAATGCAGTACTGTAGGTCAATTATATAATTAAAAGTGTAATAAAAGTTTGGAGAGAAGATGAGGTGAGATGGAGGTATTAAATCTTCATCTCTCATAACAGTTATAAACTTAAATTTTTTTTTTTTTTGCCGGACGCGGGCCTCTCACTGTTGTGACCTCTCCCGTTGCGGAGCACAGGCTCCGGACGCGCAGGCTCAGCGGCCATGGCTCACGGGCCCAGCCACTCCGCGGCACGTGGGATCCTCCCAGACCGGGGCACGAACCCGCGTCCCCTGCATCGGCAGGCGGACTCTCAACCACTGTGCTACCAGGGAAGCCCTAAAAATTTTTTAATTGTGTTTTTCTTTTCTTTTTATTGTATCTAAATGAGATGACTGATGTTAACTAAACCTAGCGTTGTAATCATTTCACAATACATGTAAATCAAACCATCATGTTGTACACCTTAAACTTACACAGTGATGTATGTTAATTCTTTCTCAATAAAACTGGAAACAAACAAACAAAATGCCAGGACCACTCCCTGACCCAGAGACCCACGTCTCTGGGTAATGATCTGGCTATCCAAGCCTGTGATGGAGTCCTCTGCTGCATCCCCAGTTCAGTTTCCTTGTTAGAACCGTAAGTATTGAAGTCAAAGATATGAGTTTGAGTTCCAGCCCATATATTAAGCTATGTGACCGTAGTTTTTCTAAGCCAAAGTCTCCATTAATAAATTCTGGGTTTTAAATACCTTCTCCATGCTACTGTGAGCAGGGGCAGATGGGGGCTTTATGGGGCCTGAAGTTTCTACAGCTTGACGGATACCCAACTGAGGCATCCTGAAGCTTCAGCTTCAAGGTCAGTATACCTCTGCTCCCTGCAAGAAAAGAAATGGAAAGTGCCAGATTGCCCTCGACCTGCTGCTTTGCAGCGAGGATGTGGGTCTACCATCCAGGTCCCACCAATCCAAGGCCACACCCAGGCTGAGAATCAGAAGCCAGACCTCCAGGATCCCTTCCGGTGACTGATGACAATGATGAGGGCAGCTCCCTCACTTCCAGAGGTAATGGGCACAGGAGTTCTGGTGGCAACTGTCAGTCCCCAGACCAACTCTGTATCCCAGTGTGATTTGGGGTATTCTATTCGTGTGGACTCAAATCTGCTTCTCTGTCCTTCCTAGAGGTGCTGTGACCTTTTTTCCCCCTTTCTTTTAAACATTTTTAAAGCATGGCTGGCTTTCATTTCCTGAGCTCAGGACTAGCCCTCTACACATCCAGCATCCCCCTACCCACCCCTCCTTTTTTTAAATCCAGCATCCATTTAATAAGACGCTTTGCCACCAGAGCCAGGTGCTGTGGCTCACAGCTAGGAATCGTACTTTGCTCTTCTCCAGGGCCTGGCACATAAGGACCACAGGAAGACAACCACTCCAGAGCCTTTTTTCTTCCAAGCTCCTGGCAAGCTTTATCTAGTTACATTCACCCCGTGACTTGCCCTCCAGGCACTGATCTTGCTGCCAACCTTTTGCTCTGCCACACGCTCTGCCTGGCTTGCTGCCCTGGCCTGCCCAGCCTTCTCTCTCTCCACTTTTCCCCCTCACCGCCTCCCTCCAGGCTTATCTAGGAGGCTCCCTAGATTCTGCACCCTGGACCCAGAGCTCACCACTTCCCACATCTCACCTCGCAGCTGCGGCCCTAGCCATGGCTGCTGGCTGATCCCTTGAGCAAATAAGATGGGAACACCTGACCCTTCTTCGTCCAGGAGACAGGCCTCTGCAAGCCTGACTCACCCTCTCCTCCCCACTGCGGGCCCGGAGCAAACACCCCCTCCTCCCTTCATCCTCCTTCTCATCGTGTGGCCTTGGACAAGTCCCTTCGCTTTTGCGTTTTGCTTGTCAAACTCTACAGGCTGTAAACTCTAATCTGTATCATACAGGTGAATTATGTTTATTTCTGTGGGTAGGATCTTTCCTGTCAGGACAAATCAAAGTTCACCTTCCCTGGGCAGGTGATGGGGGCATGTGGGCTCCCAGAAGATTGGGGTAGAGAGAGACTAAGGGGAGACCACAAGATAGAGGCACCTTGGCTGATTTCTTACTGAAGATACAGGTGAATATAAAAGCACTGGTTTTGGTGGTGTGTGGTGCCAGAGGCACGGGGTGTGTGTAGGGGGAGATGTACCGACTTCAGAGACCAGCTCACCACAGTGTCCCTCCACTCCCAGGCAGGGCCGGGACAGCCTTCTCAGCTGCAGGATGAGGCATCCTAACGGAGACTTAAGGGGAAAGAAAGTGCTGGAGTAGGAGCCAAGTCATCTGAACTTATTCCCTGTGCCCAGAGGAAGTGGGGGCACGAGTCTGCTTTCCATGAAGAGTGTGTGGCGGGAATCTAGCTCCTAAAGAGGATTCAAAGGAAAAACAAGAAGTGGGGAGAAAGAAACATAGTCTGCGGACTCGGTCCTTTCCTACTACGTGGGGGACCTCCCAAACTCCCGGCCTCGTGCGCCCCAGCTCCTTCCCCACCACGCGTGAGTCTCCTGGCAACCGCCAGCCACAGCTGGGGGCCTCTGCTACGGCCAGGAGTGCTCAGCAGTGGAAGATGCCCAGCTAAAGCTGCTCGGGCCGCGCGGCAGCATGAGGTCCAGGGTGAGGTCGCGCTGCTCGTCCTCAGAGAACACTGGCCGGTAGCCCAGCAGCTGCAGTGCGCCCGCACACAGCTCCTGCACGCGGCGGATCTTGGCAAAGGGCAGCGTGTGGCGCCAGGCCTGCGAGACGTTGAGCGCGTCCCTGGACGTAGTCTTGAAGGCCTCACGGCGGGCGCCTGGCCCGACCCCGTGGGTGATGTTGTGGATCCAGGCCTCGAGCTGCGGCGTGAGGCTCAGGCCTGCGAAGGCGTAGAGCGCGCGGATCTCGGGCAGAGGCGCCCGTGCCAGGTCCTCAAAGCGCACCAGGCGGTAGCGGCCGCGCAGGGAGGGCGGTGGCTTGCGCATGGCGGCCTCGGCGATGCGCACGTGGCTGCGGCACACCTCGCGCACCACACGCAGGTCCGGGTCGGCCTCCACCCACTTGCCGTTGGTGCCCAACACGATGCCGTTGTCACGGGCCAGTGCCTTGGCCGTCTGCTCGCGCGAGCGCAGCACAGCCCGCGGGTCGCGCACCAGGTGCACGATGCGCAGGTTGAGCGCCGGGTCGCTGAGCAGCGGGTAGAGCACCTGCAGGTTGAAGAAGCGCACCTCCTTGAGCACCACGTGGCTGTAGGAGCGGCAGGCCTCCTGGGCCAGGCCGAAGGGCCGTCGCGCGCACAGCGGCTTGCACACTGCCTCGCTGCTGATGGCGCCGCGCGGGAAGGCGCTGCAGGCGGGCGGCGAGCACAGCGCGCGGCTCTCTGCCCACTGGAAGAGGTCCGACAGGTTGCGCCGCCACGGCAGGTAGGCGTCGAACACGTCCATGTCGCACAGGAAGACGGAGCGCACCAGATCGCGCACCGCCATGTGTAGCGCCACCGCGCTGCCCTGCGACAAAGCGGCCCACACGTGCCACGCAGGCTCCATCAGGTAGAAGACATTGGGGTGCTGGCTGAAGAGCTGGCCCACGAAGGACGAGCCCGAGCGCCACGAGGACAGCACCAGCACGTGCACCCTCTCCTCGCCACCCACCGGGGACGGCGGCCTGGGCCGGGAGACTAGGAAGAGCAGGAGGCCAGTCTGCGCCAGCAGGAGCGCGGTCACCGCGGTGCTGGAGATGCGCCGCAGCCACATGCCGCCGGCCGGGGGCCTGCGGAGGGAGAGTGCAGCCGTCAGGGACCGCGACCCGCTCACCCATCCCACACCCCAACTCCTGTCTGGTGCTGCCAGGGAGCAGCCCCGGGACTTGACCACCCCACCTGTGGAGGCCTCCCAAGGCCACGGCCATCTCAGTTGGGCGCCCTTCCGGGAATGTGACTTTAAGACATGAGCCATGATCCAGCCTTTGCAGAGCTAAAGGCCAGTTGCACAATACTATGGGGCAGTGTTTTTTCCCTTTTCTCTCTTTCTCTCCCCACGCCCCCTTTTCTTTCTATCCAGAGGGGGAAATATATTTAAAACAGAATTCCTGCTTTTCACTTAAAATTCCTTTTAGGGGAAAAGTTGTAGGTAGTTTAGCTAAATAACTTGATGGGTGATTTGGCAGAACCCTCCCTGGCTCCGCCACTTCCTAGCCTATGATCTTGGACCAAACGCTTCATCTCTCTGTAACTCAGTTTACCCATCTGTAAAAAGGGGATTAATTCTGGTTCTGGAGTATTGGGATGAGCATGGAGGGGTGGGGCATTTCTCATAACTGAAAACTTGCACTTTCTACGTAGTGTGCTTCTGCATTGTTTGACTTTTTAAACAAGCAGATACAACTTTTGTTATTAAAAATAAACATATAGACAAAGAACAGCAACTGTTGCTCTCACCCATGGAGAGTGAAGTGCTGCAGGATTCCCAAGGGAGGATATCCTTCTGGATTTGTGTAATTTTGCAGAAGAAACCAGTTAAGGGAGAGGTAGGATGGAGACAGAGAAAGGGAGAGATGAGGGCAGAGTCAGACCCCTTTCCATGCTGAGGTTACTCACTGCTGTCCAGGGCTGCTGAGAGAGCTGCCCACCTCGGTCACAGATCCATGGGAGATGCCTGGAGGTTTTTCAGGGCCTGGGAAAGCAGGAGGGAAGCTGGGTCAGAGTCCCACAGGAGGAGATGGCCCTGCACACTGGGAGGGCTCTGCCTTCCCAGACTGACAGAAAGTTCCCCACGGGTGGGAGTGTAGCTGTCCTGCCCCTGGCTGGAGCTGGGCCCAGACCAGCAGGCAGCTGGATACATCTTTCCAGATGGGAGTGAAATAACCGTCTCTCCTGCTGGGTTTGAGTTCCTCTGATGCCCAGAAGCTGTGAACCCTGGGGCAAATGACTTAACTACTCCAAGACTCCATATTTTCCTCTGTAAAACGGGGATGATAACATTTGACCTTAGGGTTCTTGTGAGAGATGCTGCTACAAAGACATACGAGGAAAGGGCTTGGTAAAGTGCCATACACGCCCCATGTTACTGTTGTAGCGTTCAGCTGTGTCTGGGGAGGAGGAACCATGGGAAGTCTCCACCCAGATAAGACCCCTGAGGTCACCTACGCTTGGAATCCCAGCTTCTCCCAGGCCCCCTGTAGCCCCCAACCACCCCTGAGTCCTTCAGTGGAACTTAAGAATGTCACCCCCCCCCGGGGGGGAGGGATAAATTGGGAGATTGGGATTGACGTATACACACTATATATAAAGTAGATAACTAGGGCTTCCCTGGTGGCGCAGTGGTTGAGAGTCCGCCTGCCAATGCAGGGGACACGGGTTCGTGCCCTGGTCCGGGAAGATTCCACATGCCGCGGAGCGGCTGGGCCTGTGAGCCATGGCCGCTGAGCCTGCGAGTCTGGAGCCTGTGCTCCGCAACGGGAGAGACCACAACAGTGAGAGGCCCGTGTACCGAAAAAAAAAAAAAAAGTAGATAACTAACAAGGACCTACTGTATAGCACAGGGAACTCTCTACTCAATATTCTGTAGTGACCTATATGGAAATCGAATCTAAAAAAGAGTGGATATATGCATACGTATAACTGATTCACTTTGCTGTACAGCAGAAACTAACACAACATTGTAAATCAACTATACTCCAATAAAAATTAATTTAAAAAGAAAGTGTGGAACGGAACTGAGTTATTTGTAGTGAGGTGGAAGGACCTAGAGACTGTCATACAGAGTGAAGTAAGTCAAAAAGAGAAAAACAAATACCATATGCTAACACATATATATGGAATCTAAAAAAAAGAAAATGGTCAGAAGAACCTAGGGGCAGGACAGGAATAAAGACGCAGACGAGAGAATGGACTTGAGGACACGGGGAGGGGGAAGGTAAGCTGGGATGAAGTGAGAGAGTGGCATGGACATATATACACTACCAAACGTAAAATAGATAGCTAGTGGGAAGCAGCCGCATAGCACAGGGAATCAGCTAGGTGGTTTGTGACCACCTAGAGGGGTGGGATAGGGAGGGTGGGAGGGAGACGCAAGAGGGAAGAGATATGGGGATATATGTATATGTATAACTGATTCACTTTGTTATAAAGCAGAAACTGACACGCCATTGTAAAGCAATTATACTCTAATAAAGATGTTAAAATAAATAAAAATTAAAAAGTGTCCCGCAGAGTGTCCTACAGAGTGAAAGGAACACTGAGCCCAGCTCCCACACCCCGAGGCCCCCGAGTTTTCTCTTCTTTGCATTGCTGCTCCTGCAATGATCTCAAGGATGAGCCAATTTGGAAGGGAAGGACCTGGCAGTTTCTTTCCTCTTTCCTTTTGCTCCCCACCAAGCCACCTTCACTGTCCACCTCACCACTGAGGGAAGCTGGCATCTAAACCGTGAGCAGAGCCCATATCTACCTCTTCCCTTTATCAGGAGGCTGCAGGATCGGGTGGAGGATGCCCAACAGCTCTGTCACCTGCTGAGTCCAGAACTGCCTCCTGGATACCTCGCCCACTCCTGGATCACATTGAAGACGAGGACAGCAGCCACCCACCTGCTCTGCACACGTCACCTCCTCTCCTCGAGGGTGTGCTTCCTGAGAACAGGGTGCAGGAGAGGGAGGAAACTCGAACACATATTTGCTGACATAAATTACCTCAAGTGCTAGGTGATTTAACTCAACGGCCCCTGAGGTGGGCATTATGATCTCAGTTTTTTAGACGAAGGGCCCAAGGCTTGGAGAGACAGCAGGGAAGCTGGGACCCCAACCCAGGACTTCTAAGTTCCTGGCACTTTCTGTCATAGACTGCTGGCCTCTCCCATCCCTGGGAGATCCCTGCAGAACACAGGATCCTGATTCCTGGGCCCAAACACAGCTGCCCAAGCCAGCCCTGCCCTCCCCTGGGTAAGGAGGATCTTGATCCCAGGCCAAGGTGCTTGTTACATGCACTCCAGGGATGCCAGGGGTCTTCTTAAGTGACTCACACAATACGGGAACTGTTATCTGATCCTGTGATTGGAACTCAAGAGCTAGAAAAGGGATGGAAACATCCTACCCACGCAGAGTGTCCAGAGAAGTCCAGGTCTCAGCTGGGAGTTTTCTGAGAACGTGCCTTATATTCAGCGCACCCACCAACTGCCCCAGGGTTCAAGTTACAAAGAACATGTCAGGCAGGCACTGTGATGGGTACTTCCTCTTCATGACTGAATTTTATTCTCCCCAAATCCCTAAGGAGGTAGAAACTATCCCTGTCTGTTTTAGTTGAGGTAGTGGGGCTCAGAGACATGAATATACAGCTGGTAATGGGCAGGGCAGGGGTTTAAATCCAAGTGCCAGACCCCCTCTCCTAAGCCTTTGCTCAATGAAGTCCCCTATCCTGGAAGGGCCATCTGCCTCTGATATGAATTCTTTTCTTTTTAATTTTTTGTGGGTCTATATTATTTATATGTCTAATTTTTGGAAAAGGTGATACAAAGAGGCGGCATAAAATTTGAAAGGTACAGGCGAGGGAGTCGTGGGCTCAGGTTTTATTTGTCAAAATTTGAAAAGGGGCCCCATCCACCGGCAGACACAGTCCCACATCAGAGAGCAAAGGGCCATTCAGTCAACAGGAAGTGATGTTCTCTGTCCCCTTTGCCTCCCCCCAAGCCCACCTCAGAGGCAGCCCTGTCTCCAATTTCCGCAAAGTCTTTGACGGTGATGATGATGTTTAAATTAATTATATATTTCAAGGGAGACGGGTAGGAGTAAAGTGCAAGAGGCCACTGAAGGAATATAAAATTCCTCTTCCTACCCTGATAACCAGGACCACCTTACAGAGTTGTCTTTCTCAAGTCACTGAAGATTTTTTGTCATAAAGCATTTTTAAAATTCACTTTTGTCAAAATAATACACAGAGCTTGAATAAGCATTAGGTATCCCTGGAAGTTTATACAAGACAGTGACCATATTAGCTTCCCCTGGGAGGGGAGTGAAATAGCTGGGAAAAGATATTTCACAATAAATCCCTTTTTTTTTTTTTTTTTCAGCCAGCCGCTTGGCATGCAGTTAGTTCCCCAACCCGGGATCGAGCCCATGCCCCTTGCAGTGGAAGCGTGGGGTCTTAACCACTGGACCGCCAGGGAAGTCCCCACATTTGATCATTTGATCGTGCCATTCTCCTACTCAGAAACCTTCAGCTATCCAACTTCACTTCCCATTATTCCCAGCCAGCATCTTATATTTCAGATAATCTGGAATCACTACTGTTCCTCCAGCAAGCTCCATGCTCTCCTACCCCTCCACCGTGAGTACCCAGCCCTGAGTCCCACCAGAAGTCATCTCAGCATCTCTGAAGACACCTCATCCCTGCCTCTCTCCAGGCACACACCGTTCTGCCCTGTGTGACACTTTGCCTCTCCTTCTTGCCTGTGAGCAACTTGAGGGTTGGGATGGTGGGTTTTTGCAAGGGAGCATCTGTTCTCAGGTACCTAGTGTGGGCTCGGTACTGCACAGGTGCATTGGACAGGGCTGTCCGTGTTCATTCAGAACCTATTTCCCCTTCTTTTGGTAACAGCCTCTAGATTTTTCTTTGAGGAACCACCCCTCACCCACATAAAGCACGTGTGGTTTGGGTAGGGCTGACCCACCACCCCCTGGTTCTTAGGGAGTCCTGTGTCTCAAGCCTGGTTCATCTGTATATTCCACACACTATCTCCCTGCCACAGCGACTGGCTTAGGAACGGACATCAGCCCCAAGTCTAATCCCAGGATTTTTGCAGATCTGAAGGGAAGAGGGAAATTGCCTGGGTGTAAAGCCAAAATAGGAGAGAAATGAGCAGAGAAAAGAAAGACTGGGAGCCCATGAGCAAGCTGACGGCACCAGATCCAGCTGTGCCAAGATTCACCCATGTACTTTTCAGTTGGGGAAAATACTCCATTTTTGCTTAAGCCAGCATGAGTTGAGTTTCTGTCACTTACAACCAAGAGTTCTGATTAGATAGTGGATCCCCTTGGTGGGATGGGTTGAGGGTAGAACTGTAAGGGAGCATGGGCAGAGAGAGCTTCTAGGGGCTGGTTATGCCCTGTTTCTTGATGGAGGTACTAAGTACATGAGCATGTTCAACTTGTGAAAAGTCACTTTTATGTGAACTGTGCTCTTTTCTGCATGTATATTTCAACAAAAAGTTAAGAAACCTCTAACACCATATACAAAAATAAACTCAAAATGGATTAAAGACCTAAATGTCACACTGAATACTATAAAACTCCTAGAAAAGGACTTCCCTGGTGGCACAGTGGTTAAGAATCCTCCTGCCAATGCAGGGGACACGGGTTTGATACCTGGTTCGGGAAGATCCCACATGCTGCGGAGCAACTAAGTCCGTGCGCCACAACTACTGAGCCTGCACTCTGGAGCCCACGAGCCACAACTACTGAAGCCTGCGTGCCCAGAGCCCGTGCTCCACCACAAGAAAGCCATTGCAATGAGAAGCCTGCCCACCACAACGGAGAGTAGCCCCTGCCCGCTGCAACTAGAGAAAGCCTGTGCGCAGCAACAAAGACCCAATGCAGCCAAAAAATAAATTATAAAAAAAAAACTCCTAGAAAAAAACATATGCAGAACACTCTGATGTAAATTGCAGCAATTTTTTTTAATCTGTC